ACACACACACACACACACACAATGTAGCTCAGTTGGTGGAATGCTTTGCCACAGAGGCAGGAGTGACAGCAGAAGTCAGGAGTGACAACCTGGTTCTTTTGGGGGGGGGAATCCCCCATCTTAGATGACCAATGAAAAAAACGTTAAGACACTACGAAGCTGATGGTGAGTGCTCCAATCTTCTCAGATACAGGCTAGAAATGGCATATCTGTGACTTCCGAAAGTAAATTATCCCCAGACAGACCTCTCCTCAACCCAATATTCTGTAATATCTTGGAAATCCTGAAGTTCATTATAAACTTGGCACAGCCATCCGAAGGCAAGTGAAGTCTAAAATGTACACATATAATACAATTAAGATGAATGTGGTAGTGTATCCTGTAATTCCAGAATTCAGGAGACTGAGGCAGGAGGACTACCATGAGACTGAGGCCAAGCTAGGCTACAATGTGAGGCCTTGTCTCAAAAGACACATACTGAAGATGGAGCTGGAGAGATGGCTCGGCAGTTAAGAGCATTGGCTATTCTTCTAAGAGCATTGGCTATTCTTCTGAGGACTCTAGTTCAATTCCCAGCATCTACAAGGCAGCTCACATCTATCTGTAACTCCAAGATATGACATCCTCAAAGAGACATATATGCATGCAAAATACCAATGCAAGTGAAATATATATATATATATATATCCAGCACCACACAAACTAGGAATGGCAACATACATCTGTAATCCCTCAGGTGAGGAGGAGGATCAAACGTTCAAAGTGGGGCTGGAAATGGCTCAGCAGCTAGGAGCACTGGCTGCTCTTCCAGAGGACCAGGGTTCGTTTCTCAGTATCCCCTTGTCAGCTCAGAACAGTCTATAAATTCAGTTCCAGGAGAACTGATGCACTCTTCTGACCTCTGAGGGCACCAGGCATACACATGGTGCACAGACATGCATGCAGGCAAAACACAAAGAAATAAATGAGTAAAAAGAAAAAATTTAAGTTCACAATCATCCTCAACTACATACCAACTTTAGACCAGTTTGGAATACACAGAATCCTGTTTGAAAAATAAATCAATCAAACAAAAGTTATGGGACTGTAGCTGTAGCTCAGTGATATATATAGTACTTGTCTGGCACAATCCAGACTGTGGGCTTCCTCTCAAGCATGTTCCTAAAGAAGTTATCTGTCAAAGCCAAAGAAATTAAAATACTTCACATCAAATAAAACTTAGAATCTGTGAAACTCATGTAGAAGCAAACAGTCCTGAGTGTGAATCCTGGTTCTACCAACTGACAGTGGTGTGAACTTGTTGGGCCTATCTGTCACATGACAATCCAACTCACCTCACAAGACCATGCAAGGTACCCAGTGTGGGGCTAGGTCACAGTCAAAGTCAGAACCTTTGTGAGGACTGACATCCATATCTCTCAGTCCTTGGCCACTGTCACACCCTCTGCCATAAACTACCTTCTCCTCATCTTTTCCCTTCCAAGTCTAAGCCCACTAGACTGGATGGCACTCAGTCACTGCCTTAGTCCTGATTGGAATCTCCACCTTTCCGCACCTCACTAGGAATCCTCAGGGCCACTCATGTGATGAAGAGATTAAGAACATGGGTCTTGGTTTTGCCTCATACCAGCTGCATGATCTTAAAGTGGGTTACCCTAATCCTCTGATGACAATGGTGGCCATTTACACAAGTTTTGTACATGAGATGCTAAACAGATTGTAGGCCTGAAGAAAGAACTCCTAAAATGCTAGTATATTACTACTTCTTTCTCACACATCCTTGTCCAATCTTGTTCTCAGTCACTGTGGTCTCTCCACCTCCTCCTGACTCCCCGTCACTGTACATCTCATAACCAGGCTGCTTCCTGGCTGCTCACCAGCCTCTAGCCTCTCCCCAGTGTAATCAAACCTACATCCTGTTGCCAAATTCAGCTTCCTCTCATGCAGCACAGGCCCTGGTTCAAGAACCTGTGGAGGCCAATGATGCTTAATTCAAAAACTCCATCCTCCCTTCCCCCAAACTCCCACCACTTCCTGAAAACACTTTCCATTCCAATCAGCAAGTCTGCCTCACTGCCATCTGAAGAAACCTACTTCCTCGGCTCTCCCACTTTAGAGCCTTGGCTGAACACAGCTCTCTCAGCTGTCACAGCTTCCTCCTTGCCCTGTGACTTTCCGAATTCTACTCCGTTCTGCAACCTCCTCCTCATGGTCCATGTTTCTCTGCACCCTCCTACCATCTGGCCTGTCCTCTCCACACTCCTTTCTAAAAAACTCTTGTGCTACTTCATCAGCACAAAGCAGCCCATCCTATGGGTCCTGAAAGGGTCCTAGGAGAAAGGTAGAACTGAAGTAGATACTTGGTAACCAAATGAGTACAGTTTACACCCAGGGCCAAATGCAAACAGAACAGCTAAAAGGGCAAGGCTCCAGAACTTAATACTAACAAAGCAGACAAATATAGTAACATTATAAAGAGCTTGTCTAGAATTAACCTTTTTTTTTCTTTCTTTCTCCATATGTGATCTATTCTGTATACAGCGACCTAGCTTTCAATCCTCCTGCCTCAATTCTGAGTACTAGGATAACAGGTGTGCCACTCCATGCCTGGCCAATACTTACTCTTTTAAGGGTCTAAGATAACTTCATACAACAGAAAGCCCACACAGTTTTTGTTGTTTATCATGGTTTCATCCAACGTCCACTTTGAAAAAAAAAATGCATTTTTTTTCTAATTGCTGGAACTATCTGAATGATTACAACCAACTGAAAGGACCAAGAGGTGGATTACAGAGCTCATTTTTGTGCTTATATGTACAAATCAATAACATTTTCTGTTTCTTAGGGGAAGTATGTCTTATTCTTGAGGCAGAGGCAGGTATATCTCTGTGAGTCTGAAGCCAGCCTGGGATTAATAATAAGACCCTATCTCAAACAAACAAACAAACAAATAAACAAATAAAAAACCCACCACTTTCTCTCTATAACAAAGGAAATTAAAAATCACAAGCATGGGGGCTGGAGATAGCTCAAAGGTTAAGAGCACTGACTGTTCTTCCAGAAGTCCTGAGTTTAATTCCCAGCAACCATATGGTGGCTCACAACAGTCTATAATGAGATCTGCTGCCCTCTTTTGGCCTGCAAGCATACAGTGTTATGTAGACATAAACACTGTATACATAATAAATGAATCTTTTTTAAAAATCACAAGCACAAAAATAGCTTCCAGATAACCTTTTGTGCATGCTAGGCAGGCATTTTATTTACTATTGAACTTTATCCCAGACCATGTCATGATCTCAATCAACTTCCCAACCTCCTGAATAAACAAGTTAAGGCTGTGTTTAGTATGCAAATGGACTCCAAGAACAGCCCTCCAAGCCACTCACACTGAAATTCTGGAGCTACCACTACATACAGTGAGGGCATTATGAGAGCTAAGATCTTGCTGAGTGCCACAGACAGAGCAGGGAGAGACAAGCACCATCTCCTACTCTGTGTGAAGACCACTTGCTCCTGCACAAACATTACACTTCTCCACCTCGGGAGGCTCCCACCCTCTCCCTATGTGGTTCTGCAGCTTACCACTGTTCCGAAAAGTCTGGGTCAAGTCTTCCACCAGGGCCACAGCCTCCTCACTGCTCTCAGGCCGATGCTCTTGCAGCCAGGCCTGAATTTCCCTTGGCAGCACAGTTAGCATCTGCTCCTTAGTGTGTACCTCTGGCCTCAGCCAGCGCCGACAGAGCTCCCGAAACCGTACCAGTGCACCCTGAGGTCCCCCGGCTGCACCCTCCTCCTGGGGGCTGTCCTTCCCAGCATTCTGGGGAAAGGGCTCAGACTCAGGGCCATCCTCCTGCAGTACTGCTTCCTGCACCCATGAATCATCCTCTAGGATCATAGTGGAGACCTCTGCCTGTTCATCTTCCTCTTCTTGAGGTACCTGAACCAAAGGGCTGAGGAGAGTGGTCACTTCTTGCTCTTCGGCTGCCATTGTCCAACTTCCTGGATGATCACCCAGGCTTCAAGCCTTACACCTGTGTCTCCAGGCAGGCTCTCTTCGAGAAGGCAACTCCTTCTTCCAATCTCAACAAGAAACACTGCTGAGAAACAAGACAGAGAACCAGGATCACTAAGTACACTATTCTACAGCAGCCACCTTACATTCAAAACCAACAGAGCTCCTGGGCAGTGGTGGCACCTGCTTTTAATCCCAGAACTCAGGAGGCAGAGGCAGGCAGATCCCTGGTCTACAAAGTGAGTGCCAGGACAGCCAAAGATACACAGAGAAACCCTGTCTCAAAAATACCAAACCAAACCCAAAACAAAATCAACAGAGGCTTGCTGCCTTACTCTATGGCAAAAGAAATATTGAATACACATATACCCACAAATAATAATACATCATTGTTCGTTTCAGAAGCCGGAAGAATGAGCAGTGGAAAAGCCAATGTTCTGGGGTGAGGGAAACAGAACTGACATATCCTGCCCTAAGTCACTTCAGACTTCCTGCAGAGCAAGGGACATTGATCCAACAAAGAGGTCAGTCATTCAACCTCACTTAAAACTGACAACGTAATAACAGATAATAACACTCATCCTTATCACACTGGACATCTTAATGGTTAGCAATGGAGCATATGCCAATGTGCCACCCCCCAACCAGGAGAAGGCATCACTGCTATATTTCAAAGGAGGTTATCCTCAGGTGACTGGTTCCAGGAATCTCTGGAATCTGTGAATGCTCAAGTCCCCTATATAAAATGGTGCATTATGTACTTTCAGTCATCTCTAGACAACATATACCTAAGTGTAAATACTATGTAAACAGTTGTTATACTGTGCTAGTTGGGAACAATAAGAAAAAGTCCCTACAGTTTCAGTACAGACCTCCTGTTTTTGTTTCTGAAGCAAGGTCTCACTATGTAGCCCAGGTGGCCTTGAACTCCTGATCTTCCTGTCCTGCCTCCTGAGTATTGAGATACCACGCCCCATCACCTAGGATTTCCCAATTCTCTTTTAAAATAAACATACATGGGGATTGGAGGGTGGGGGAAGCAATTCTTACAAAATATTCAGAGCAGTGGATTTAAAAACTATTTAAATATTATGAAAGCAATGAATATTTATTTTTAAAAATCATTACACCACAGATTCAGATAACATTTCTTCTCATCCCCATGAAACTAGCAAAAGTAAAAACAGAACAGCAATAAAACAACAACCAAAAAAAACGATGCTCCTAATGTCAGTTTGTCCAAATGACTACGTGTAAAACAAATACATAGGAATTCTTCCTGGGCAGCACCCGTACACTGACCCTAGACAGTCTATTCGCTAAACCGGGAGACGACACGCCCCCTCGGAACCTCAGTTTCCCCATCTGGACAAGGAGGAGGCACGGCGGGATGTCGTTGGGCATCCCTTCCCAGTGTAAAGCTGCACTCCTGGGCTGCGTGTGCGCGGAGCTCTGGCGAGAGCGGAACTCCGCGGGCCCGGAGGAGCCGGGGCGCAGAGCTGAGCGCCGGCCCCGACCCGCTGGGCGCGGACACGGACGCCCCTCCCCCAAACTGCCCTCAGCTGGCTCCAGGCCCGTTACTCGCTCGTCTCTCTGGCTGTTCCCCGCGGGGCGCGCGGCTCCAGACCTGCCTCTCTCGCTCGCCTCTCCAGGGACCAGATCCGGTTCCCCAAGTCGCTCAGCGTTCAAAAGCGCCCCTCGGCCCGGCCCGGCCCCTCTAGATTCACCTCAGCTCAAGCCCATGGGGTACAGAGAACAATGGACGGGAGAGGCCCGCCCACCGCCACGCTCATTGGCTGCTCAGGACAGTCCCTGGAAACTCTGCTCCGCTACTGGTGGAGGCAGCGTTCAGCTGGGCAGTGGGAGGGAAGCTAGGCCCGAGGCATTGTGGGAAACGTAGTCTACTTAGATAAAAGCCGAACACAGTACCAGCGCTCACAGAGGGTTTCATAGCCCTGAGGCAATGCCTCAGGATCAGAGACAAGAGAAAATCCGCGAACTACTACTGCTATCCAAGACTTTTACCCGAGACAGTGTCAATTCTCTAAAACCAGCGTGTATTCTTCTATAAAAAAATGAAAGCTGGGTGGATTTGTCAGTCTTCTTCAGCGGAAAATTGCGTGGTAAATGATATTGTTGAGCCTTCGACAGCCAAAAGCTGACTCTAAGCAGGGAAGAAATCTGCACAGGTAAAGTCCCTCATGGTACAAGACTGCACTTCTCCCCGCAGTTTGCGGCTACGCACAAGCACGAGTGTGGCACACCCCCTTTGTTTTCACACGTGACATTCCTGCGTCTGCATGAAAGCCCCGCCCTGCTCTCTCTGCTTTGGAACTCCTATTCCTCTATAGCCTCCTCCTCGGAGCCTGCCATAGTGTTTAGACAGAAGGTTAACTCTGGCGAGGGAATGGCCAACCAGGCCCCCTAAAACAGGACATAAAGAACAATAGTGATAGTGGTCTCTCCAGATGGGTCAGCTCAGGGCGCCCAAAACAGGATATAAAGAACAATAGATGGTAGTGGTCTACTAGTTGGCTCATCTTAAACTGGCTTCAGGGTCTTTCTGGATAAGGGATCATGCGGAGAGTTCTGCTACCTTTTCCCCTAGTGAACTTTTCAATTTTAAGGTACTTAAAACCCTAGACATATTCTTGCATCTTAAAAGTTTATTTAGAGTGGGTAAAACGAGCTTTCAAGAAAAAGCATGCCACTTTCATTTAGGGCCTTCTGAGGGAGGCACAGGGAGGGATAACAGATAAAGGATTGCTTTTCCCAAAGAGCATACTTTTACTTCCTTTCTTGCTCTAGTTAAAACTCTTGACTTCGGGGCTGGAAAGATGGAAGTTAAAAGCACTCGGTGCTCTTCCAGAGGACCCTAGTTCGATTCCCAACACCCACAATGCAATTCACAACAGTTTGTAGGTCTGTTTCCAAAAGCCCTCTTCTGACCATCTCAGACACAAGGCATGCACATGGTGCACATACATACATGCAGGCAAAATATGCTTTACTCCTGTGTCCTTTATGCCTGCTTCTGAATTTTTCTCTTTTGTAACCACGAGAACAAAGACTGTTGCTGGTGTAGAGACCAGAGGAAAGTGTGGACCTCTCCATAACACTAGCATCACCTGCCTAGGTCATCCCTACCCATAACACAGCTGTATAAAGTTTCCATTGTAGTACTTAAGCTATCATAGACTAGCTTGTTCGCATCCTCATTGGGTAGGAGGGAGGGAATGCAGCTACAACCTTGGTGTTTCCGTGCTTCCCTTGGTGTCACAGCAGCACCTCCCTGGTGTGGGATATTTTTATGCTGTGTGAAGTTGTATTTGATGTGGTTGGTGTAATAAAAAGCTGAATGGCCAATAGCTAGGCAGGAAGTATTAGAGGGATTTCTGGGGAACGAAAGGAAGAGAAGGATAATCTAGACACACAGGAGGCATGGAGAGAGGTAATGAACACCATGTGATAGAGCATAGATTGGTATAAATGGGTTAATTTAAGTTAGAAGAGCTAGTTAGGAACAAGCCTAAGCTATAGGCCAAGCCATCTCTCCAGCCCTATGTTACCTTTACAAGTGTATCTGTTTTCAGGAAAAAAAAGGACCAGACACCAACAAAGACAAGCAGCCCAAGTGATCCAGCCTCTCAGAATGCTTCTGTTGCAGTTTCCCCCAAATTCTACATCCAGAACAACTTCAAAGCTGCTAACTGAGATGGTCCAGCCTCACAGACTATCCAGCCAAGTGTTAGTATTTAGACATTTGTACTGGCTGCCTCTAAGAGCACTACCTGTGCCTATTCAATACGTTTCCTTTTAAAAGGGCCCTGTTCATACCCCCTATCTCTACCTCTCTCTCTCTGCCTCTCTCTCTGTCTTTCATCTTTCCCACTGCCCTGTCTCCAGAGGTGGGTCTGCCCCTCCCCTTTCCCCTTTTTAGGATCCTTTTCCCTTAATAAAAACAAACAAACAAACCCTCTGCTTGAACTCTGTTGCATGGCAGCTTTCTCTCTTGAGCTGCTTTTTAAAATTATAATGCCAAGACTTCAGATAAGCTCTATACTTCCCATTTCACAGAGACTAAACAAAAAAATAATACAACTAGCTCTCCCAGGACTTGACCATTATCCCCATTTTCTTTTATTTTTTTTGGGGGGGGGGTTCGAGACAGGGTTTCTCTGTGTATCTTTGGAGCCTATCCTGGCACTCGCTCTGGAGACCAGGCTGGCCTTGTACTCACAGACATCCGCCTGCCTCTGCCTCCTGAGTGCTGGGGTTAAAGGCGTGCGCCACCAATGCCCGGCTATTATCCCCATTTTCTCAGGTCCCTAAAGATGTCATCCCCAGACAACAGGAAGCAGTTTAGAGAGCACAGCGCCCACATTGCCAAGAGGTGGGGGTGGGTAGTTTTTTGTCATTTGGTGGATTATGGATGCATGTTATCATTTAGGGGCACTGGTTACAAGTTGTTATTGGTGATGGTCAGAAAAAAAGCTAAACAAAGGTAGTAGATTCAGGGAACTCTTTCTGAAGGGAAAAGGTGAGGATATAGTATAGAAATGATGGGAATGTTGAGTCTACTTTTAAACAACCACTAGTCTCAAATATTTTACATTAGCATGGATTGATACAAATTTAAGGTTATTTTGTTAGAACACACTCTATATATGTTTCTACTTTTGTTTAAAGTATTTTTATATATTGATACAAATGTAAGGTTATTTTTATTATACTGCATATATGTTTCTAATCTTGTTTAAGGTATTGTACCTATGCATCTATATAAAAATGTAATGTGGCTGGGTGTGGTGGTACACTCCTTTAATCCCAGCACTCAAGAGGCAGAGGCCAGCCTGGTCTACAAACCAAAAATAAATAAATAAAATAAATAAAAATAAATTAAAAATATAAAAATGTAATGTAAAATTCTAGTCCTTGAAAGCTGGGTTTTGTTGTTGTTTTTGTTTTTTCAAGACAGGGTTTTTCTGTGGCTTTGGAGGCTGTCCTGGAACTAGCTCTTGTAGACTAGGCTGGTCTCGAACTCAGAAAGGTGTGCGCCACTACCTCCCGACTGAAAGCTGTTGTTATAAACCATTTTGATAAATAAGAAACACTGGTTAGTCATCTATAACAATCAAACTTGTAGTCATGTTAAGTATGTTTTCAAGGTCAAACAGAGATATATTTTAGATAGATAGGTGGTCTTCAAACACTTGAAACATACAGAATATGACATTTAAGATGTTTTAATAACCTAAGGCTTTTCATGATAATAAGACATGTCTGCTCCTGGCAGAACCCTTACTTCAAAAAAGGATGATGGGCACTGAAGAATCTCTATTTGGAGTTTGCTTTCATTGTGACAAAGCTAGCCATTGGGCAAGAAACTGCCCTTGCCTCAACTGCTGACAGTATACTGTCCAAATTGGATAAGCAAGACAGAAATGAAGGCGACTGCTGAACTTTGCCAAGACAAGGTAGGACTGTTCTTCAAACTTCCTGCTTCACAGAAAAGTCTGTCAGATATTCTAGGTCTGTAAGCCAAAGATGGATGCCCCAGCATTAAGAGGAACCTTGGGTGACTGACCAGGCAGCCAGCTATCTCTGTTGTTTCTTAGTTTTGGAAATTGTTTGCTCTGCACTTCTTTTTTACGCAGGTAACATTATATCCTTAGGTTTCTGGTGGAGTTGAAGATGAGATAGTTATAGTTACAGTTTTCCTTATTGCCAAATTCAGAAAAGAAAATTACATAAGAGATATAAAGGTTGGGAGACATAAAAGTTTAAATTGTTTATCTAAGAAAATATTTTAGGTTGGTAATACAAGTTAGGATAAAAAGGGAATTAGGTACAAAACTTTGGACTCACTAAGATAGGATAGATAATACAGTACTTTCTCCTAATTTGCCAAATACAAATGGACTGGATATTTGAATGTAATTCTTACCTGATAGTTGTTCTTATTGTATGCTAGAGTTAAAGCCTTTCCTTTTTATTTAGACAAAAAGGGGAAATGGATATTTGTACACTGTGTGAAGTTGTATTTGCTGTGATTGGTATAATAAAAAGCTGAACTGTCAATGGCTGGGCAGGAGTTATAGGCAGGATTTGTAGGAAGAGAGAAGTAGAAGAGAATCTAGGTGCACAGGAGATGCCAGGAGACATAGAAAGGAATCAGGAGGTGCAAGATGGAAGAGAGGTAAAACGTTTTGAGGCCAAATGTAATTTAAAATATTAATTTAGGTTATAAGAGCTAGTGAGACAAACCTAAGCTATAAGCTGAGCTTTCAAAATTAATAATAAGTCTCTATTTTTTTGTGAGCTGGAAGCCCAAAGAAAAATCTGTCTACACATGGACACATGGTGCCCTCCTCAGGCAAAAATGAGCCACGGGATAGGCAGAGATCAAAGGAATGGAGATTACCCAGCGCCTGTGAAGTAATTTACACCTTGGTGTCTTTAGGCAACATTATAATGTAGGAACTGGCTTCCTACATATCCCCCTTTTTTTAATTAATTAATGAAAAGGCTTTATATTATTACAAGCAAATAGGTCACCCATATGTTGAGGGATAGAGGTAGAGGTTGACCTTCCCAAAATCAAACATTAAGACTATGTACAAGAGTCGCCATCAGGCTGTTAGCTTGACCCGAAGCGCTCTTGACCTGTCCTCTGCCGTTTTTCTGGGAAAGGGAGACTCGGGGCAGGTAACCCTTATGCAGGTCAACGTACCTCCCAGAGAAGCCTGTATAATAGGCAACTCT